TCACCCGATGTCTCCTGCTTCCATTAACAAGGTGCTGAATACACTGCACAAAAAATATTCACAAAGAACTTCTCATTATCATTCTCCTCTTTATGACATGGTTCACTGCTGGAATTCAGAAACCTTCTATTATTAAATAAAGGTCGCAGCTTACAATTGATAGCAACTTTTCTTTTTTGCTAAGAGCTATTACTAAGTCAAGGGTTTGTTTTTACAATTGACGGCATCTTAAAATTAAGGAAACGTGGACACAAGTCAAATAATGTTAAAGTCAGACACAGAATTTTATTATTATTACAGCAAAAAATAAAATAAAATGCCATCAAACATTTAAATATATAAAACTATTATTTTCTGTGGCAGTTACACAAGAATCCCTTCCTTCCTCTTTTATCTTCATATAAGAGAATTTTCTGCGTTTTATAAGAAAGAAGATAAGGTAACTAAACTATTCTACCTGTTACATGACGCTCATTCTAGTTAAATACAAACACAGAGGAATATGAATTACAAACAGCTTCTCCCATTTTAATTTCCCACCACCGCTGATTTACATACACGGATTAAACAATACAACACACACAAACTTGAATGACAGGCCATCGCATCAATTTTCACAAAAAATTGTAATGCATATATATTTACAAGTAACGTCACAGAAAGCATTGACAGAATGTCATATTGATATTCTAAATAAACATAAATTAGATGTTTCTATTTGGTATGAAACCGGCTGTAGGTAAACATGACTTGAAACTCCGGTTAAAGGTTTACCGCAGTACGTTTGCTTTAGCTTATGGTTCAATACAAAGAGAGGAATCCAGTTCTGTGGATACCGCACTTGCCTTCAACATGCGCTTCGTATTGCGCATAAGACAAAGATGCCTGAAATAAAACCACTTCATTCATCAAACTCTAATTAATATTAAGGGTACACGTTAAAATGTAACAGGGAGAGAAAATCAGCATTACAACAATTTTCCCAGTATTTTGCTCGGAGGGCGTTTTATGCAGACGCACAAGAAAATACAACAAAATCACTCGTGTCTGTCTGTCTGTGTGTGTGTGTGTAGTAAATACTGATGAAGAGGAAGGGACGCTGGTGTAACTAGATACATGAGGAAAAAATATCAAAACATGACCAAGTACTCGGCTAACTTTCTCATGCTGCAACAAACATCACAGGACAGAAATGAAACACATCATCTGCCAGAAGGTCCCCCCTTCTTCGTGCAGATAAATGCTGTTTCGTCACATTTTAATTACCTCTCCTCTTCAACGCGACAGGGCCTGACGTTCAGTCATCACCCATCACTCAAACACCAATTATTTCCTGTGTACGGTGACGATGTTGATGAAAAACGCTGCTGAACTGGACACTAAATATGAAAAGTGCATTAGCACACTATAAATATAAAAAGATGTTGATAGTACGAAGTACTTGAGCCTTTGTGAATATTCAGGTTGAAAGTTGATATCCGAGGTTGGCAAATGAGGGGTTTGGTGGCAGCTGACCGTAGACGCTACGGAACAATACTTCAGGGACTGTAACGGGAGCAACGTTATGTCCAGGTGCGTCCCCATTTTTCCAAACCTTCTTTCGCACGCGGTAAAAGATGGCGAACCCAATAACCATACTGACATTGATGAGAAGAAGTGTGAGGACAGACACGATCACTAACGACTTGGGAGTACAAACATATTCCTCTTCTCCGTAGACATCTGAAACGTGAAAAGCGAAATTAAATGTGTGTGTGATTGAAACATAAAACAAAAACTAAAAAAGTCACAAATTAATTATATCCTAAAGACTACTACAAAATTAACACTGCTTTGATCTTCCTATAGCAAATTCAGCCTTTTTTGTTTCTGATTATTAATTATATAATGGACAGTTTTTCTTAATTCACCATATTCCCTTTCAAAATTTTTTTAGCGCAATGCAAGAGTTTCAAATAAATAACAAATGCAGTACCAACTAAATATTTCTGTTATGACAGTCATTACACCATTCACATTACACTTATGTAGTTGGTTCAAATTTGATTCAGAATTCTGATCAGTGTGTTCCAATAAATCGTCCTACCAGCTTCATATTAAGCAGTATTCTTGAGGTACTCTCCCCCTACATGTACACTTTCTTCCATCCAATAAAAAGTCTGGGTCAAATGTAATCCATTCTCATAACATACTGATTTTCGAAGAATTCCGTCTTCTGGGTTGTTGCGCTGTGTAGACTGGTCGATGTTAACCAACGTTTCATCGCCCTGATGATGGAGGCAGTATATGACCTCTGAAACGTTGGTTAACATCGACCAGTCTACACAGCGCAACAACCCAGAAGACGGAATTCTTCATACTCACCACTGTGAAAACCTCAAGTCTTACATACAGATTTTCATTTACTGAGAGTCTAAGCAGAAAGTAGTGTGACGGAGTAGAGCAAAATATTTTGGAGAAATTAGGTGCATTATGAATAGCGCGACACATAATTAGATAACTACAAGGAAAATGATATAGCATCCATCAAGAGTCCATATTGTCCATGGGACTCAAAATGTAGACTGCCTTCCCACCTAAGTTACACATTCTATTCTTTTTGTTTTTTCACAATATTTCTTGCTGCTTTTATATTTCAGTCAGCGTACTTGGTTCTGTACCAAAAATATGTTCACAGGTAACACGACAGTTTCTAGGGATATTTCTCTAAATCATTTCTGTTTCCCGTCACTTATTTGTATCGTAGTTACTAAAACACTGAAAAGTTACATAACATTTCAATGTCTTTGTAATAATTTTCCTTATTCTCGGTACTTCGACATCAATAATATTCATTCAGATACACGGACAACGACCTTTCAGCAATAAAACAAGGAGAGACAATGGGAATGCCAATTTCAATTACATGAATTGTTAAATATTGAACCCTGATCCTAATAAAAAAGTATTTTCATTTTCAGGTTGTTTTAGATTCTTGGCTATAAAAATACTTGCCTCTTTCTGTCACTCCAACTGGATAACCTGATTCTCTGACTCCAGTCACAATATTATCCATTGTGGTCAACATGTGACCCTTGACGCTACTGTTTTTAAGACCTCTTGGCATCTCAGGCAATGAGTTCGGGCCAACAACTAACTGAAATAACACAGACGTGGGATATTTTAATACACATTACAGATTTCATTCAACCTTTGTGAATATGGAATTTACAACCCCATATTACAGGGCTGCAGGGTCAATGGTGCGAAGCACTGAATGTTTCCGTACCTTAAGCTGCACTGGAAGTTCATTTGGCAGTTCAGGGTCTGACTTTTGTGAGCTGTTAGCTTCAGTGGTTGGGACAACTGTGATGTTCTCTCGTTCATCTACGTCTGGATTTTCGTACGCTGCTTCAGTTACTACAATTGCAAAATTTTTTAGAGTTACACTTACAGAACTGAAAGCCGAGATGTAACAAGAATACACCGTTCACGTGATATGCGTATATCTGCCAGCATCTGCAAAGCTTAAGTATTTATTCTCGTTTCAATGCGTTTATTGAATCAGAATATAAAAATTGAGTTGGAAATGCATTATTATGGAGAAAACAGGAAATTGTGGCAGAAAAGTCCTACAGTAAGGTTACTTGATGACAGTGTCAGGGAGTTAGTTCCGCATCACCTGAATCAACTTCATCCTGGGACATGTTTGCAATGTTCGCTGTACTGTTTTCAACTCTGTCAGATTCTGGTAAGGATGGGTGTGCGTTGGTTGTGTGCTCCTCGATTTCTGTCGCGTTCGTTTCACTTTCAGTTTCTGGTACCTCAACATCAGTTTCAAGTGTGTTGTTGGCTGATCGGCGACGTCTTCCAAATGAGTGCACGCCATTGCTACACCGAATCTGAAAGGAAATTAATTAAATTCTGTTCACCTGTATGGAATTATGAAATAATTCCAATGTAGTCCTGAAAATTCATGTTTCTCATGAAGTAACACTTCCCTGAGAGTTGCAGTGCTCAGGAAAACCCAATAAATCTACCATTGTGTGTTCTCACATTCAAAAGTGACTTCTAGTTCAGTTGTCACTGGAAAAGTAGAGGCACTTTCCATGCAAAAATAATTCCCATTAATAATGCTAAATGCCGTAAATTAAATAGACTAGATATCCAGAAGATTCATACTTTAACACAAATGCAGTATAATGTGAGAAAGTACGTAGTTTAAGCTTCAGTTTGAAGAGAACTCATCCAAGTATTTTTCAGTACGTGTTGAAAAGAATTACATACATTAATCTATGAATTGAAACTGTCTTCTCACTCACTGGTTCGCAAACGTCCTGGCAGAACTGGACGGTTGCCACAAAATTAACAGTAGCTGTTGAAGGGAACCTAAATGCTTTGAAGTCAGCAAAGAGGTCTCGGCCTCCTCTTTCAACCTGAAGGGCAGGGAAGATGTTATGATCACGTGGACACCTGGAAACAGTAACCATGTTATTTACAAGCCGTCCTGCCACATGCCACGTAAGTCGTTTGGAGGGAGTGGAGGTATAGCTCCTCTCTTCCTTGACCCCGGTACTAGATGGGTGGGTGGGCCCCAGAGCCGGTCTGGACACAGAGGCTAGAGGAAGAATCCTCTGCCCCCGTCGGGGATCGAACCCCTGCCCGTAGCTAGTCACTATACTGACTGAGCTATCCCGGCTCCCATGTCATTTACAACGCAAGTTTTCAAACAACTCAAACAGAAATTTATATTTCTACAAAACAAGTGCTCCAGAAGAACAAAATGAGTTTCGAGTTTCTCTGACACAGAATAAAAGACGGTCCTCAGTTACTCTGTTAATTAACTGCTTGTAAATTTAAATGGGAGCAAATATATTAAGATTTTGCTACAAAACATAGAAGACAATGCCCATCTGCAGTGCCACTTACCCCACATTATCGACGAGAGTGAGAAGTTCACCATTATCTGTTCGAGCTTCCAAATTCCGCACAAAGATGCCAAATGCACTTGATGGGTCTATCTCAATCTTCAGTTGCAACTCTTCTCCTAAGCCAACCACAGAAGCTTCCTGGCCGCTCCTCGTCACAATACGCATACGGACATTGGGAGTTGGGGCAGTGTTCGTCACAATGTTCGTCCCCGATGGCCGGAAAGGCACCCTGCAATTTTACAGAGTTATCAACCTTACAGTGATACAAGGAATGAAAAAGCTATTCACAGTCTCATTTAAAATGCCTTTTATTATTCGATATTTAAAGGTAGACTCTGTCTGTTCCATGACGGTAGTTTCATCACACATTTTTTGGCAACCTGACGGAAGTAAAATCCTAGATGCTCATCGATATCTGTTCATGTGCAGTTAATAACTAGACAATGGCTGTAAGACATAGTAATTTGTGAATGACATAGCAAAGCACGTGCATAGAATGTTGCACAACGAATACCTCTAGAATTGAATGTACTCTGAAGACAGCAGTCTTGTTGTGTTTACATGTGATGGCTGCACAAACCAGTGAGAGAAGTAAAACCTCAGTGCATTTGAATTTCCCACTGGCGTATAAATACAGGAAGCATGTTGAAAACAGAATCTAGTAACTTCTTTGCTGTCAAACAATGAACTACTGCAAAGCAACTCAGTGTCTGGTAATATCCCTCATTACAAACTGTTATGTCTATGACGCAGGAATAGATTTCATTCCGAGTTTTCCAACATGCTGTTTTCCCCACTTACGAAACACTGATGCCGCCACCTTCCTGGTCACGTGTGCCACTGGGTGCATATGATACCGTCTGGTCACTTGCATCAAACGAGCATTCCACTCGAACTGTCTTATCTGTCTCTTGCATAATGACTGGGTTCTGCTGAATCACCACGTGGTTCACGTACCGTCCTCGGCCCTACGTGAAGGAAATGAACACTCAAAATCATGCTCTTAAAGAGAATTCTAATCACCGACTTCATCAAATGCAAACGTGTCCTCCAAGCTCCAGTGCAAGTGAAAAACACTTTATACGCCCATCCATATCTCGCTGTCCATTGAACTTGTCCCTGAAAACAGACAACCCACATGATCTGGAGGTCCTTCTTTGAACACGCTGTTGTAAAATGGTAACTGAGGTCACTGATGATTCACAGTAATGATTTAAGATCACATCAGTGATCATTAATACCATTGTCGCATGTTATTCATTTTGAGTAAAAGCCCATGATGTGGAGTGAAGAACATCTTCAGAATTTATCACTAAATAAATCATCTGCTTTTATTCATGGTTAAACCAGCAGTGGGGACTTTGTATCTTAAGTGTGGCTTGCTTCAATTTTCATGTGTCACTCACGGAACACAGTAATATATCT